ACTAAAACTATCTCTGTAGACCCAACAGTTTCCGAGATTAAGCCTTTCAAAGTGTTATCATTTTTTTTCGAATTTCGCAATTTTTTGCAATTCTGTCGTTCTGAATGAATTTTGACCCTGATTATACTATCGAAGCCCTGTACTTTTATGATGGGATGTTAAAAAAGAAAATGAGAAGTGTGAACGATGATGTCTAAGCTAAGCTACGAATAATGAAGTAAGAAAGATAAGTACAACAAAAGTTAGTAAATTTATTTGTTAGGAAATTGAGTAATATTCAAAATCAAAAAATTAAATAAATTTAGCCCTCTTGGAAGGCCCCGGTTGAGGTTCGTCCGTATCTAGATCGACGTATTGGGATGGCATATCCCCATCAGGGGATGGTGACGAATCATCGACGTCTTGTGGGCACAAGTCATACTCCATTTCGACATCCGACAGATCGTCGCCTTCTGGGATATCTACTACTGCAACATCAGGTATATTGTCACTGCAGTGCCTGCAGACTGATGAGAATTTTAATCCTGCCTTCATGCAGCTGCACGCGTTCCCACAACCCTTCGTGCAGCCGCAAGAAATCATCCGCAAGAGGTGTTGTGGGTTTTATATTATTTGTATCATTGTTTTACAGACCTGACGTGTATGGGGATTGACGTCTTGTTTTGTATGGCGTCCGCACTACTGCCTCATAAATTTGTTTTTTGATTTTAAAATGCATTCCGTTGTTACGTGAGATAGCATGCAAAAAATAAGATAAGCCTGGAGTTCCTTTTCACTGGAAACGAGGCATTCCATCTTAGTCCTCAGGGGTGACAACGCATCTGCATTTTGATCCTTAATCGAGGAATTGATGTCTATGGGCCACAGCATCCACTTACCATTAGATGGACTATGTGCTCGTATGATTGAAAAAAAATTTGTAGAGAAAATATATACGCATACATAAATAAGCTACGGTCAAATATAGCTTGTTTTATATGAAAGCGCGAGGTCGATATGGTGTTCGGTGGATCGTACTTATTTCTGTTCAAAAGAGTTTCAATATTTTTTTTTATTGTGCATTTATAATTATTTATTCTAAAATAAGAAGCAATGGCTCTATGGTGGTTAATAACTGATATCGATATTAATGTCGGTGTAATTTTATACTATTAACGTGGCGTTATTTAGATTTAAGATAATAATCATCAAAAACGATTTATTTTACCAATTTTTTGTTGTAAAGTTCGTAAAATTTTATCACAATCAGTTCAGCCATTTCGAAGATTAGGCAGGACATATGTTTTTTTTTAAATAGTAACATGTCTTAATAGCATGCAAATAACCTATTGAGTTTAATAGAAGCCAGTTATTTCAATATTACAGACGGCCAATTCAATTTTATTTATATGTATACTCGTAATTATGTATTAATTTTGCGATAGGACTCTATGAATTTTTTTTTATAGAAGAGGGGGCAAACGAGCATGCGGCTCACCTGATGGTAAGTGACTACCGCCGCCCATGAACAACCGCAACACCAGGGGTATTGCAGATGCGTTGCCGGCCTTTTAAAAAGGTGTAAGCTCTTTTCTTGAAGGTTCCTAAGTCGTATCGGTCCGGAAAATTCGCTGGTGGTAATTGATTCCACAAGGAAGTTGTGCGAGGGAGAAAACTTCTTCTAAATCGCACAGTGGTGGACCGCCAATCATCCTGATGGTATGGATGGTAACGCGAGTTTTGTCGCGATGTGCGATGGTGAAATTGAGCGGCTGGAATTAGTCCGAACAATTCCTCAGAGCACTCCCCGTGATAGATTCGATAAAATACGCAAAGAGATGCAACATCTCTACGCAGTGGCAGTGTATCGAGCCGATCAGAAAGAACTCGGTCGTCGACGATTCGAGCCGCTCTGCGCTGGATGCGGTCAAGTGAAAGGAGCTGGCACTGGGGTGCCCCGGCCCAGAGATGAGAACAGTATTCCATGTGGGGCCGAACTTGCGCTATGTAAAGTTGCAAGCGATGTGCCGGCATGAAATACTGTCTCGCTCTGCTGAGCACGCCAAGCCAATTTGGCCTTCCCTTCCAAGTGACCACGAAACTGCACACTATTCGATATGTCGACGCCAAGGATTCCGATGCTAGCTGAGGCAGCAAGGGGAGTGCCTTGAAACTGAGGAGATACGACAAAGGGGTTATTTTTAGCGGTAAACGCGCAAACTTGTGTCTTCTGGGGATTGAACTGGACTAGATTTAGCCGCCCCCAATCCGAGACTTTGTTAAGCAAAGACTCGACTTCAGACACAAGTTTGTCCCGGTACTCGGCGACGTTTTCCCGAGAAATATTGGCACGGCCGGTATATAAGGCATCACCAGTGCTGTCGTCTGCATAGCAATGAATGCTACCAGTTAGCAACATATCATTGATATGCAGGAGAAACAGCGTTGGTGATAGCACGCAGCCTTGTGGAACACCATCGTTGATAGGCTTGAAATCAGAGCATGCACCGTCTACTACGACCTTGATGCTCCGATCAGCAAGGAAACTGGTGATCCATTTGCACAATTTCTCGGGAAGCCCATAGGAAGGAAGCTTCGAAAGAAGCGCTTTGTGCCAGAAGTATCAGCTGGTCGACTTTTATTGTAATTCTGTTGGTCTTTCGTTAGGTGAGTTAGTGTTATGATCAAAGCCTTAGTTTTCTAATAAATGGTTATATAGTATAATTAAAAATGCAACTTAATATGCGTTTGTATGCTGCGGTAGTGCTTGACGATTTTGCTACTCGAGAGTCTTTAAACCCATCGGTTGTCAATTGTTCGAGGTATATGGCCAGCATATTGCCCCTCCAGCTTTACTAATTTGACGGGCTATGTCAGTTACGCTAAAAAAGTTTGCCACGCTATAAAAACTCCGCATAGCCCACTCAATAGCTCACTGAGCGACCTTTTAAGCTTTATTACACTGTTAGCAGTGAAGAGTCATGTATCAGATCGATCAATGTTCCTAGTGATGATATATAGATTAGAAGTTATTGCTGTTGTCGAAATCAAGCAAAATACCATTTTTTATAGGATAAGGGCATAGGGTAATCTATGGATAAGGGTGACAAGAGAGCTATTTTAGGCTGTTATTCTGTGAGAGCGTGGTTTTCCCCCGTCGAGCCGACCCATTCGTGCTACAACCATAAATTAATATAGCTGCAGCATGGCTCTAATACACATATATTACACATTGCATTTATTGAATATTATCAATCTATAATCATAAGAATGTGAGCCACTGTTCACGTATTATGGTGGTACTAGGTGATAGGATTGCTTTTCTATCTTAGAGAACATCTGGGTAGGAATATCCCTCTTACCTATTTTTGCCGCCAACGGCAGTGCATGCATTGCTTTTTTTATAAATGGCTTTATGGCTCTGGGTTCTAGCCCTTCTGAGCCTGAAGTTACAATGTATAATTATTCTTCATAGCATATACTGCTTCACAATATGTTGATGCGTCACATTGTGCAGCCCTTAGGAGATTTTGACGGTAACTTGAGCCAGCAGACAGCTGACAGTTGGCGATGGTATCTCAAGGCGCCTAAGCAAACAGACACCTTATCTTGAGAATCACATCACCATCAGAGCGCTTGTTTCACCCTTTCAACTAATAGTTCACATGCGTAGACACTTAAACACAAAATCGCACCACTTTTACATATCAAAATCCACTTCAAACCATTATTCAAACGATAATACAGGAGCAGCAAACTGCCGCCGGTCAAGTTCCCGCCAAAACTCCAAGCATTGCTATGTCTGAAGGATATATAGCTATAGAGAGACAGTATAATTACAGGCTGTGAGGAGTTTCGTCTTAGTTCTCAGACTACGACGAATCTGTAATCAAGTTTGTTTGAAGTTGCTTGCAGGTGGCCATAGGCTTCATTAGTCAATTACTATCAATTGAAAACTAAGTTCGCTTGTCACTTCAGTTTATAAAAGGAAAATGTGTGGCTCTCCTTCGGCTCTACCAAACTAAAACAACTAAATAAATAGTTAAAATAATTTTCTTATAAAATTATTGTGGTGGAGAGAATTAAAAATTGAATGTAAAATTATTGCGATAATGATTCTGTTGTAGAAAAGCACTATATTATTTTTTTATTGGAAATAAGGGTAACAAATGAGCACATAATCAATTTAATAGTAAGTGGGTGCTGTAATCCATAGACACATACATTTATCGTCGGTTAAGAAACAAAGGACAGTTGCGTTGGCACCCACAACTAATATTTGGCACCCTTGAGGTCTAAGACAGTTTGCCTCGTTACCAATGAAAAGGTCTTAACATACAATACAAAACAAAAAAATTATGCTACTAGTTTATGTTGGTTTTTGTAGGAACGCGGTCTTTGTCAGTTGAGTCGACCCATTCATGCTGCAGCCATAATCACTGGCTCTGCCATATAATGTATATAGTGGAGCAGCGTAAAATATAAGCCTGCAGTAGCCTAATAAGACAGCGTTTTGTCAAGTTGATCTAACTTGTTATGATATGAGCACTGACTTTTTAGCGGTCTTAGTTACTAAGCGAGTTCTTTGTGTTTTGTAATTGCAAAGGCGGAGTTATGTTATTGTAACAAATAGAAAGATAATGAAAATTAAGTTTTCAATACATAAGGGGGCCGTAATTGTTAGAATATTGATTAGGAATTATCATCTTTATTGTCTTGTTAAACTCGGTGATTAGATTTTATTTCACCCTAGCTGAAAGTGCAGGTCCCGGGGGCGGGGGCGTAACAAGTGTCGGGGGCACATGTGCGCTCGGCACCGGCACAGCTCTCCCATTCAGTATCTATTCATTCAGTACGCGCGTCGGTTCATTTCGGAACGGCCGTGGGAGTGTGTAGGCGGGAATATTCGAACCGACCGATTTTTCGCGCGCGCGTATTAAACTTTTTCTTTAAAGCGCCTGCAACCGTATACATATTTCGTGAAAAAAAAAATGTCTATAGTTTAGTTTTCATTTTTAAAAATGGGTGAACAAACGTTTAATATTACGGACCATAGTTTAGAACAGCACATTGTTACGTTGTTCGAAAAATTGGAGTGCATGCGTAAGGATGCGAATACGGACGTCGGGTTGTCGGGTAAAATGCCGGCGAGGCTGGAAGTGCGGACTTTATCTTTGTGGAAAGCTGTGCTAGCGGAGTGTGCAGCGTCTTTCCTTTACGTTTTCATAGTGTGCGGGGCAGCTGGCGGCGCCGGCGTTGGTGCGTCTGCTTCAGCTGTGCTCCTCGCCACCGCTCTCGCTTCCGGCTGCGCCATGGCCACGATCACGTTGTGCTTTGCGAACATATCTGGTAAATCGACTTACAACTTATGACTGGCTATTTCATAGTCTATTTACTCTATTTATAGCTTGAGTTATGATTGTTCTTTGTCTCTATCCTTAAGTCATTATGGAAGCCATCAAATTATTTACGGATTGTGCTAGTTTCAATTACACTGTTGAAACGACATAACTGAAAATATAAAAATATTTTAGAGTGGACACTAAGCCTTAATTTGTGGTATACCGCTAACTGTACTCTCTTTAAATTGAAGTATTTCGTTACTAAATACAACCCAACCACAGAATATTATTTTAAGTACTTCGTTATGATGAACAAATATTAATTTCCGCAGATCGTTAATTGGAATAACAGAATCGTGTATTCTGTTATTTACTCGTAAGTTAACGATTGATCGGTTTTATTGTGGAGAATATTTTAATATAATAATAGTAAAATAGACTAAGTAACCGTCCTATACGTAAAAGCTATAGGTGCGTAAATGCATTGTCATCTCTGAGAAATATGATATTGTCGTGGTCTGTTATTCATGAATGTATGTGTGTGTATTTACGTATGTATGGATATATGCGAATACTTTATAGTTTACAATACAAACACGAAAAGAAAATTAGATAACAGAAAGAAAATATAAGAGAAACAGATTACAGAAAGAAAGTATTAATTCTTTATTATTACTGTTTTACAATATTTAAGATTGCAAGTGCTTGCTTCACATTATTAATTCACACACACTGTGTACATTGAGTACACATATATACATTTTGTATATCAATAACTGATCACCGTGTCTTGACGGTATTGACAAACTGTCAACCCATTACATATAAAGCGACTATAGGGAATGTTAGAAATATTTTTTTTATACGATAAGGGTGACAAACGAGCACACAGTCCACCTGATGGTAAGTAGTTGCTACGGCCCATAGACATCGACATCTATCCTCTATTACAAATCAAAATGCAGATGCGTTGTCACCCGTGAGAACTAAGATGGAATGCCTCGTTTCTAGTAAAAAGGGTCTCGGGTCACAAACATCTCAAACATCTCGTAGCCTTCGTAAGATAGTGCTTTACGTATACGCCATAAGAAATAAGTGTAATACTCAGAAACAAGTATAGACTTTTGAATACTGAGGGATGGAAAGCAGCTGAAACGGTGCTAGACATCTTGTACTCGGATCCCGAACTCGCCTGTCGAATGAAGCGATTACAGCAAATCCTTAGAATGGGAGATCCTGCTGTTAACTATTAATTACTAAAAATAAGAAGAATCAGAGCAAAATTATCGGTCGATGGAATCCACGTGCGATAGAGTTCCTAAAGAAACTGTATCCGAATCTTGTCGTCCTTGTGGTGACAGAAGGGCTGATTCTCTTCTCGCACAAAGGCTTAGTATAGCCATTCAGCGAGGAATTGCAGCCAGCATTCTTGGCACTATACCGCAGGGAGTAGGATTGCCCGATAATTAAAGTTTTTAGTTTCAGTCTTTTTTTATTATAGTAATAAATATTTTGTAATTTAATGTTATGTAAACAAGGGATTATAAAGATAAAAAATAATAAAATAATTAGATAAATTAGCTTAACAGTATGCAAATAAAAAAAAAAGATTACCGACGTTCGTAAAAAGTTAAACGAAATTGATTAAAAACTCAATTTATACATTCATAACATTATGCTCATATATATGTAATCTGTAACCCGTTATCCGCGAGGATACTGCAGCTGCGTATCCGAAGAGGATGCCACCGTTGGCATTAAATAAAAAGAAAACGAAAGCCGGTCAACGCACTACCACATGTAGGTATCACTTCTAGGTGTACTTTTTAATTTTGTGTCTCTACATAAAAGAAAAAAAATCTTACTACTCGTATGAATAATTAAAAATATAGAAATGTTTTTAGATTATGATATTAAAAATAATTTTATTTAAAATAACAGAACCATAAACAGCAAACTATTTAATTATTTATATAGGTATATTTTTAAACGACCCTTAGTTCTATTAACAGTCAGTGTTGCTGGCGGGGCACTTTTGATACTTCATAATATAATTTAAAATTAAAAATTTTGTACAACCGACTTCAATATAAGTTATTAAGAATAACTCAAAAACTATTGGTCAGACCTTGATCAAATTTATATAGGACCACATGTAGAGCACCAGCTTTCAAATAAAAAAGAATCATCGAAATCGGTCCACCCAGTAAAAAATTATGAGGTAATACACATAAAAAAATATACAGTCGAATTGAATACCGTCTCATTTTTGAAGTCGGTAGAAAATAGTTTCCACGAAGTCTCTTCCTTCGATCATGTCGCATGATCACCCTTAGTGTATTATCTATGATCACCCTCATATGTTAGAGAAAAATATATAAAAATCGCAGCAGTTAACTCTTTATAATAATTATAGAAATATGGTTGTATTCACTTTAGAAGATCATCAGTTTTGGATATTTTGCTTATACTTAATCAATTTTTTTGGAAGAATTAAAGACAACCACCATCCCAAGGTAAGAACCGTAATTATGTAAAGGGTATAAAGCATACTCCGCCTTGTAGCTCCCCCTCTTCAAAAACTAGGAAATACTTCCACATCTTAACTTTTAAGCGGAAATTAACTTAATATATTAATTAATAATAATAGTTTTAATATATTATGTATAAGGGATTCCCTCAGAGTAACGTATGTTTATTTTATATGTTCTCATAATGTAATGTACAACCTTATTAAATTTTATCTATTTAATTTGTTATAGAGATTAATCTAGTTGTGACGTATTAAAATTTTTATTTTTAATATTATATAAAAAAGTTTGAATGTAAAATAAATCATTATTATAGTTATATATAGGTAATATGGTATGGTTACATCATAATTCATAACCTACATGTAATTTATCGCCAGTTGTTCGAAGATTGCGGTGAGGCGAATGAGTAACGAAAAGACTCGGACGCAGATGTTCTTAATTATCTGGTTTTTAACAAGCTTGAAATATCAAGCGAAAGCAAACTGTTTCTACATATTATTATGTGTTAGTTTTAAGATTTTTTTATTGTTAAACAGGCTGTATGAAATATGGTTTATATTTTTTAGTGTAAAAATCTTTTTTAATATGTTAGTGTTAGTGGAAACTATGGTTAATATTACAAAAAATAGTTTTTAATACAATTATAAATAGTTTGTATATTTATAGAAGATCCAACACGTGTTGCACCCTTCACCCTTTAAACCTACTGCCCCACGTCATAACTCTATAATGGCGACACTTGATGGCGGGAACAATGACATTTTAAATTGTGTTATAATATCCGTGATACAGATCATCGCCGCGTTCACTTCAACAATCGAGACCTAATTCGGGTTCTCGGTTAATGTTCGCGAGTTGGCCGTTATAAATCTTTAAAAGTTCACTGTTGTCCGCTCGCCCTAATTTTCACTAATGGCTGAACACTGAGCATCCCTATTTTAAGATCGCACTAATGTGAGCTGAATTTTCGATCGATGATCAAAATTTTAATTATTCCATTCCGTTTATATCTTTTGTTTTAAAAAAAAAGTCACTATGTGCTAATGTCACTTTTTTATTATCGCTTTTTCATAGGATAAGGGTGACAAACGAGCACACAGTCCACCTTATGGTAAGTGGTTGCTGTGGCCTATACATATATACATCTATCCTCGATTACGAAACAAAATACAGAAGTGAGATGCGTTGTCACTCGTGAGAACTAGAAGATGTAAATCTTTATTTCAATTTCATACATACATACATATAATCACGCCTCTTTCCCGTGGGGGTAGGCAGAGACCAGTTCTTTCCACTTGCTACGATCCTTACATACTTGTTTTGCTTCGTCCACTTTCATTATTCCCTTCATACATGCTCTACGGTTTAGGGTACTCTTGACCTGGCCTTTTTTCAAGACGTCCCTGATATGGTCTAGAAATATCCGCCTAGGTCTACCCCTTCCAACACTTTCATTCACACTCGCCTTATACACTTTTTTCGTCAATCGTTCTTCATTCATTCTCTCGACATGGCCAAACCATCTCAGCATACCTTTCTCAATTTTTGTCACTACATCTTCTTTCAGACCACAACGTTTCCTTATCTCACTATTTCTTAGCCTGTCACTCAGTTTAACTTCTATCATACTTCTTAATGCTCTCATCTCAACTGCATTTATTCTGCTTTCATGTTTCTTCTGCCATACCCAAGTTTCACTTTCGTACATGAGTGTCGGAACCAACACCCTCTCATGCACAGCCAAACGAGCCTTGTTAGATACCTTCCGACTGCTCATAAAGGAGTGCAAAGCTCCATTCACCATGTTTCCTGCATTCACTCTTCTTTCGATATCACTCTCACACTTTCCATCTCTTGTAAACTTTGAACCCAGATACACAAACTCTTTCACCTGTTCAATTTGTTCATCTTCAATCAAAATGTTGCAGTCTGAATATAAATATTTGAAATTCACTTTCTTCGTATGGGAAAACTCAACTAGAATGATTCATATTCAATCACGCCAAAACATAGAGACTTAAAATTATACACCTCAAACCAACAAAAAAAAATAGACCTTAATAGATTTTCAGAACAGTATTATTTTGTAAAATAATAAAGAAAATATACAACTAACTTGTCTAACAACTAACTAACGTGTGTACCCTTATTGGAAATATAAAAAAATTTTGAATAAAAATATCTTTATAAACGAAAGCTTACTGTCTTTATTCATTTATTTTTAACGAAGTAATCATACTGGCACATCCAATCCATCCATCCATTACAGCCTATAAAAGTACCGGCTACTACACCGCCCAATACCACAGAATAAATAATAGTTAAAAGAACCAATACTCATACTTGTTTAAAAATCTGATATTTAGATTACTATGACATATAAAGAATTATTTATGCCTTTAGTTTACGTAAATGAACATTACTTTCGTTGGAACTTAAAAATATTTTACGAAACCGCAGAAACTGGCCTTTG